TAGGTGATAACAAATAAAATGGTTTAGCTAAGCACCAATGCAAGGTGGGAAAGGAAGGTGCTCCAATTATGTGCTGCACTTCTGTTCCGAAGATGAGTAAAGGTGTTGCTGTGCAGAGCAGGACAAAGATAACTGAAAGCCACGGGGTAGTTTTTTCTTATTTAGATCCAAGATCAAACCCAGAGTTACTGCAATTTATAGCAGTTTCCTATGGATAGTGTCACAACACAGATCACTGTGTGCAGTGAAAATGTCCTCTCCTGTTGTGTCACTGGTATGACTCCTACCCTACCAGGAATATTCTGTCATAACATCTCAAGTCATTTTTCAGTTTCTTAAATATAGTATCAATATCATACTCCCAGCCACAGCATATGATTCCTGAGCATCTCATGTTTGCCTCCCCACATTGCAATCCTCCATGCTTTGGACCTGCTTCTACTTAATTAGGCTGTACAAAGTCAGAACAAAAGAGACTGGGCAAATCCTTTTTAAAATGTGTTGCATTTACGAGCTGACCCAATGCAGGTAGAGACATTTGAGTTTCAGTAAGTGTCGATATTTCAGATTAAAAGCATTCTTATAACAAGTTCTTTTCAATTGATCTTTTTTTACAGGTAAGATTGCATGTAGCTACCTGGTTTCCTGCAGGGGTGTAAGACTTTCAGAGCATAAAAAATGTTGTTTAATTTATAAAATTATCTGAAATTTGAGAACACACATAAATGTTATAATATTTATAGTACCTGGAATTACAGGAGTAAAACAAGCTGTCATTTAATTCATCTCTGCTCCCAAGTAGATACTTCATTTCCCGTGATCTTTGACTCCAAGCTCTCATGTAGTTCCTCGCAGTTCTTAAGAAGCTAATTTTCAAGTTACCTGAAGCAGAAAGTTGAGATGAATCTCCTTTTTGGCATTTAATGACTGTTGGCAAGCAATATGCTACTAATTCAGGCCTGACCATTGGATTCTGCAGAACAGTGACTGAACTGCCACAGGGCAGACAGGCAGTCTGTTACCTTCATCTTCCTTTCCTGGGCAATTGTCAGCAGGAGTCACTTTCTGGCTAAGATATTGGCTCAACAAGAATTACTGCATTGTTTATAAGCCACTATTACAGAGATTTAATCCATTGCTCACCAGGCAAAGCACTGTTAAATGGAGGGACAGGAGCTGCTTGGGATTTTTTAAGTGTTAAAGGGATTATGTGTGTGGAAGGTAGCAAAAGCTTTGAAGAATGCTTATTGGATAAGTGTGGCTTCCTGGAGGGCAAGAAAGAGTTGCTTCTTTAGCCTGTTTGGGAAGACCTCAAATGATAGTTATCTCTTCCTGCCTTACATTACACATCTGTTTGGTGTTGTGCAAGGAATAGGACCTTTAAATGTGATTTCATTTTGGTTAGGGGGAGAGAATTTCTGGAAGACATGTATTACTAGTTTTCCCATTTTCAGTCAAATATTTCATAGTCGATACATGACTAACGTTTCAATTGGGAATATTTTTATTCCTTATCGTTCACAGAACATCTGTGAGTAGTTTACAGTAAAATTTGGCAGTAAGCCACAAGGGTTTGAGTTTCCTAATTCTGTAGTAGAAAGCTCAGTGACCTAGTTAACAAAATAATGTTTTGCTTCTAGTTCTGTGTGCAGCTCTGGAAAAAAAGCAGGAATACCTTTTGATGTATATGTAATGAAATTGACTGAGCCTTGCCTTGGAGTGGGTAGGAATTCAGAAGGGAAACAAGTTTTATTGGTGGCTACAGCGACAAATTTTATAGGTGTGGGTTCCAGGCATTCAAGAAAACTGTTTAATGCTTTGTAGTCCAGTTCTGTGAAGATTCTTGTGTATGGAGAGTGCCTTGAGCCCCCACAACTCCTGTACACCAAACAGGCAGGTGGTAGTCTTTGCCATCTTCATGAAATTCCTTCTGGCGCAGTGTGATCTGTTCCCCCAATGGCTCCTCCTACCAGCCAGGTCCTGTCATTGCACCAAGTACAGAAACTGAAAGTAGAACAGCGCTCAGGTTTCTCACATAACACCAAGGAGAAGATGGAAACAGATTAACTGGATTGTGAACAGGTGCATTGTGAGATGAAGAGGTAGCGACACAGTACACTGAAACTCTGGCATCAAGAATGCAGAAAAATGCAGAATCTTGGAAATAGTCAAACAGCCTTTCACTGGGCACTCAGATATAATGAACCTTCTCACCAGTCAAACAGCCTTTCACTGGGCACTCACCAATAATGAACCTTCTCACATCTGTTGGCCCAGTGCCTTATATGTCAAATATATGGTTTACCTGGTAGGTACCATGAGGATAACTGCACTGGTTTTCAACATGCACATGTCCCATCATTGAGCTGCATGAGTAAGTGTGCTGAATAATTTTAGAATCCATTGGAAAGAGAGTACATTCTGCATTGAAAGTACCTTAACACTTAGCTTTGTATTAGTCTGTATTGCTTTAATGTTTGTATCTGTGTTTCTAGGTGATAAATCCAAAGAAAAAAGGAAAAAAGAAAAAGTATGTTAATTCTGGAACAGTAAGTAAATATGTTTTATGTTACTGGATGTTTTTCTTTTTGCTTGAAACAGAGTTGTTGACTTGGAATGTAACAGAATAGAATCTTCTGTGAAGGCCACAACATTAAACTATTTACTGTTACACAGCATCTATTTTCAGGGTTTTTTAATATGAAGGGTCTGATAAAATCTGTGTCCAAGTGTGCTGTTAAGTTGCCAATGGTTTTCAGAATGAGCTCTACCAAACTTTCAGTCAAATTCTTGAAATTGTTGGGCTGAACACTACTCATTTTTATCTGAAATATAACTGAATTTTAAAAGTCAATTTTCTTTTAAAATTTGCCTGCTGAGCTAACATCATTCAAAGCTAATGTGGTTACCATGGCTAAACCAGGAAGAGTCAACATTGTTTATTCCCCAGAGGTTTTTGTAAATTTATGTTGAAAGGTCTGTTAGTATAGTTTCAGGTGAGAGTTTGTTGTTCTTTTGTTCCTATTCCATGTTCTCTTCTCATGTTTATGAACCACTTGCTAGCAATGCAAATATTTCCTTTCAGCACTTTCTCAGCTTCCATGTCCTGGCATCCAGGATGTTCAGATCATCATTTACTAAAAAATGAAGATGAATTTTGAAAATTTGTATATTGGAAAATCTAATCAGATTTAATATATGTTTTTTGAAAACCCATCCAGCATGTGGTTTTTTTCTGCATGGACAGCTGCAGTGAAGTCACTAGGGTTAATTTCATGCTGACCTGTAGCCTTGAAGGAATGTTTTGACATTCTCACATTCTTGTGTAAGTCTGTTCATCACTAGGAAAATAAACATTTATTTTTCTACCTCTGCTTTAAATTGTAAAATTAAATAAAATTTACCATACAATGTCTAATTCATTCGATAATTATTTTTTGCTAACATGTTCCTTTTACTAAAGTCTTTCATGTTAAAATAAAGTTCTGTTATGCTAAATTAATGAGTCAAAAACTTAGGTAAAGTGAGTATTTTCAACCAATACTAAAAGTGTTCTCAAAATTGTAGGTATGAGATCTGGCTTAGGGTACAGGAGAGTAAAAAATGTATTTACATGTTCAATTTTCCTCTTGATTTTTGCTTAATATTTTAACATCTTCACATGTGTCTGTTGCATTTGACTTATGCTTCTCCAAATGGTCACTCTCTTATGCCTTTGCCTGCAGTTTTGTTTTTTTTTCTCCTTGTCATTCACCCAAGATACTTGTTATCCCACAGATTTCAAACTTTTCATGCCAGGCACCAAGACCATCACACTTGCTAATAGGAAGTTGACTTCTGGAGAACTTTAAGTAAAGTGGATATTAGCTCTTTGGCTGCTCTCTCACTGCTGACCTTAAGGACTATTTGCATACAGCACTCATCTCGATTCATTATTACTTCAGGGGTCATTTCAAATTCAGACAGACAAATTACACACTAAGCAGAAACATTTCAGAATACAAGATTAGTTTCAAACAAAGCCAACCAGTGAAATTAAAAATTTACTGGATCGAACTTGAAACATTGTTAGTCATTGTCTGTATGGAAGTAAATGCTTTGGCCACTTTGGGAGTTGTTTGTTTCCATTTTTTACCCTTTAAACTCAGATGCACAGAAAACACTTGCTTAAATTAATTAGGAACAAGATGACCAGCTGTAAGAACAGATGAACTATTATTATTACTGTGTCCAGTGGGAAAATGCATAGAAATTTCAGTCTTATATGCAAGACTATGCTACTGATAGATAGAACTTTGTTATGGTTTTCTGTTCTCAGCTAGGAGGGTAATTTGCTAGTCACTACAAATCACAGAGAACCTGTGTCAAAGGAAGTAGGATAGAAGGCAGAATTACTACCTGTAATCTGGGTCTGTTTCCAGCATAGGAGTATTTTCAATTTTGATATTTTGTTGCAGGTAGAGGCAAATGAAATTCCATCACAAAATTCCATCCTCTTTTTATTCCTTGTACCATTATCAGTGGATTTTCTTTGAGTAGTTACTTAATCAGTTTTCAGTGACTGCCTGCTGCACTTATATTGTGAGAGTTTTGTGTCACTTTGTAAATATTATTAAAATGATTTACATTCTTTGCTTTGTAAATATTGTTCAGTCTATGAAGATTTAAAATGCTGGATCTTTCCCCTGGAGTTTATACTTCAGTGACTTGAGTGCTAAAAATGTCAGTAAGACCTTCTGACAGCTGTTTTGGCTCTGTATCATTCCTGAGTGATAAAAGCTGAGACTGAATAAATTTCTTATCTTTGTTGTTATATATACATATATTTCACTTTAAATAATTGTATATATTTTTCTTATATGTTTATAATTGACTAGGTTTTTGCATTCTTAGCTTGCATCAATAGTCAATACCACTTTTAATGCAAGATGAGTAATTACCTAGCTAATTGTATTGGAGTTCTTTAAACAGTGTTGGAGTGCTCTAGAAAAGATGCATTGTCATGTACCCTCTAATATTCATTTGTACATGTAGTGCACAGTAACCAGCAAACATGCATGTGGTAAGCTGTGAATAAAATCTTCCAACCCTTACCTGTTCCTTAATTAATGCAAAAAAGGCAATTGTAGTAGACTGTCCAACTTGTCTCTTCCCGTTCAAGAACTGCCTATTTAAATTACTTAATATCTTTCTTCATATTCTTTTTTTCCCCTAATACTGTAGGAAATTACATCTTAAGGACAGAGCTCCAAAACATTGTGTTTATATCTCTACTTGTTCAACTGGGAAACACACAATTCATGTCTGACTCTCTTTTATTTGCTTTCAGGTAACGTTGCTTTCCTTCCTAATTGAAACAGAAGTTTCATTCCTTGACTATATTAAAGGCGGGTATGTGATTGACAACAAACCTTTCTTGTTTTCACGATCCATTATAGTTCACTAATAATTTGTGTATGTATTTCGCATATGATGACTCTAAGCAGGATCTGTAAGGAGTAGTATTGCTTCCCCATTTTAGAGTACTTTTTATAAACCCTGAAGATAATTACTGACAAAGTTACGTTATGAAACTTCACTTATAGTGTTGGAATTGGTGTCAATACTAAAACACCAAGAAAGAGTAATGACCTCTGATCAACCAGATAAAATTGGATTAATCAGAAAGGAATTATCTCTATACTATAAAATTATTAAAATGTTGTTTTATTTCCTCTGATCATACTGAGTTTTGATGTATTGAATATTGGCATTTATTTAGAAACTTTCTTCTTCAAAGGCATTTTTTCAATACTAATTAAAAATCATAATATGTTCAATTTCTTATTTATTGTCATTTTCCCTAAAGGGAAGTAGACATAGAAGCAGCAAATGACTTACCCTAGAATGTGCCTGGAAATGGAATCAAATCTCAGAAATTCCTGACTCTTAACCTCCCTGCCAGATTACTGTTCTTTAAGATAAATGGAAACAACTAGTTGCACAGTCCTAAGCACCTAATATGGATTTTTGGGGCATACAGTCTGAATATAGATTCCACGTGTTTTTTAGAGCACTGATTATCTGTGAAGAAACAAGCCACTATCTTTTGTGCCAGTCTTCAACCAGACTTCAGCTGAAATTAAAAAGAAGTCTGTGTTGTGTTTTGACAGGAGCCATATAGGGCTGTGTCTTTGTTCCCAACAGTGGTAATCCTACGTTCCTGTTGTGGACTTTGACAGAGGTAGAAAATGGCCAGCCACTCATGTCTACCAAAACTTTGTATTGGTTGAAGTATATGTATGCACAAATGCATGAAGAAGCAGTTTTGCCTCTAGTGTAGTTGACTGTTCTTCAAAGTGTGTTGTACATATATGCAACAATCATTCCCCATTCATTCAAAATTCATTTCTACAAGAAAAGTGTGTATAAGGAACTGAGGAATTAAGTTTTATATCTTAATTTCAAAAGAAAAGAATATGGGGGCTGCATATGTAATCTTTTCAGTGTGGTTTATCATGTTCCTCACTGAGATGTTGCAATACAAGTTAATAAACCTAATTATCTATATTCTGCAGAAAAAACATAGAAATTTTGAGTGCAGATACTTTGTTGCTCTTATTGAAAGTTTGTGTATGTCTCTCTTATTGCAAGTCAAAGAAGACCTGTGATAGTAATAAATTACACTTCAGGTTTTTTCCCCTTTTTATGAAAAAGGAATATAATTAGTAGAATAATCTGTGTTTAAAAGCATGAGCAGTAATACTTGCCATTTATTTATTTTATATATAATCTTTTTTAGTGTTTCATGCAATTATTTCTATGTACATGCCAGTGAAAACTGTAGAAGTACTTGTATAAAATCTTACCTTTTTTTCTGCAACATATGCAGTTATGTAAACATGACAAGGAGGCTGAGACTCGGAGTTGTTTTCTGGCTTGTCCCTTCCTTTGTCTCATTTAATATTACTACATATCAGTTGCAGTCCAGTTCACAATTTTTGAAGGAAGGGGGAAGAGAAGATTTTGTCATTAATCAGTCTGTTTTCCCATCAAGTACGTCCTCCAAAATTGTTTTGGTTTTTTTTAGTTCCCTGTTTCTCTTCCATTTAGTTAGGCAAGAGGTAGAAAACGCTGATTCTGCAATAGGCACAATATTTGCTCTTCCATAAATGGATGCTTATGAAATACTTCATGTTCAGAACTTCCACTGTAGTTGACTTGAGCTGTCTAGAAATAATACTGATTTAATGGAAGGCTTGACAGCTTCACCTATGACAAATTGGGATGTTTTGAGTCTCCATCTTTTTAATTGGGGTATTCCATTTTCAGTATCATCAATATGACTATTGTTTTCCCAAAGAGCTTTGGAAAATGATGTAGAAGTTTGTTCATAACTTCTAATTTTGTTTTACTATATAGCAGTATGGCAGGAATGAGGTGGATGTCCCTTTTGCATCTGAATGTTACAGCAAGTGGTGCTATCTTAGTAGCTGTCTTTTTGTTGCACCTTGATCCTTAATCACATATTTTGCCACACTGACCTTCCCTTCCCACATTTAAAATAGGTGCATTGTACTACAAATTAATGGATATTTCAAAATCATATTTCTCCTGCCACTTATCAGTTAATAGCATATTCCGATCAAAACATCTCCAAATATATGGATAAGCTCAGGAATGTAAGGGATACAGACTTTGAAAGGAATGCAACTGAATTTACAGGAATGACTGTCAAACCCAGTTTATAATCTACTCTTTGTTTTTGTCTGGAAGAGACCAAGAGCCAAAAAGCTTGAAGAGTACAGAAAGGATATTTCTGTGCGGAAGTTTCTAGACAGTTTGACGTATTAGGATAGTGAGCTAAAAAGTTACTCTAGGCTTTTGTAAATCAGAAAATTCAGGAGCTGAATCATTTTGCAGTTCAAAAATTGTCATCTCTTCTGTCCCAGATTAGTGGAAGATGAGAGGAAATGTTTTCCTCCTATTATGTTAAAAGCCTTACCTTCATCCAGATTTTTGGAAATGAACACCCACACATTGTTTGGATTCAAGTGGGCTTTGGACATACATTTTTATTGAACTGTATTGAATCATTGATACTAAAAATGTAAATTTAAAACTCTTTTCATGACAGCTATTATAATCCAGGCAGTGACCATGTAATGTAATGTGATGTATATTTGATGTTCAGAAGAGACCTGGCATGAGAAACAATTACAAAGCAAGGGCTGCCATATCTATGTATTTTGGAGGCTTTGCTGTACATTTCTTGTATCTCTGGAGAATATTGAGTAATAAGACTATGTAGAGACTTCATCTGAAAAATCTTCTGTATGTTGATGTGGCATTTGGCCAAACAAGCATCTGCAAAGGGGAAATTATGAAGTAAGTGTCACTGGAGACATAAATGCCATGGAGAGGATGCAGCCTCTTGGTAGTGTCAGTTACTCCATTAGCTCCGTTCTAGAGTTCTGCGCAGTAAGTGGTCCTCAAACCTTCAACTGCTCCCCCCTGCTAACAGACCAGCTGGCTGTCATTCTGAAGCCACAGGAGGAAATTCATGTTCCCTTCCAATGTACTGTTTAAAAAACTGTAATCATTACAAATGTTATCAAGCCTAGTCAAAAGCTACTTTCAGGCTTAATTTGTTCCCTTATGTATATCAGTGCTGATGGAGCTCTTATTAAAAGACGATAGGTTTCGCTTTGCTCTTCCAGAAAAAACAAGCAAAATGGCTGCTCCTTTGTTGTGAGATGAAGATTACTGTTCCTTTTAAGATATTTTCTTCATTTTTTTGTGTTCTATAGGGTAAAATCATCTGTCCACTTATCAAATAGATCATGTATTTCTATACCAACTAAATTCTGGCAGAGCAGTAGTGATCTATGCAGCACTGAATCCAGAAGGCACATTGCTGTGCTTGGATGTTCCACCTGAATTCACCCTTGGGATAGGACATTCAGCAGCTCAGCTTGCCTGCCCAGGTGTCAACATTTTAACGGCTTTTGTGCAAAGTCTTATGACCTGACAACATCACTGACCTAGAGGGTGTTGTGAGCTTTTGTAGCTCCCTGGAAAACTATGAAGCTGGAAAAGCAGGGATGGAACCTTAGCCAAAGAATTTCTCATCAGAACAGTAGGTTTTGTTGTCTTGATGTGCTTTAAAATTTGCATCATTTAATCATATTTGAGGAACCACCAGCACCCCTACTTTGAGGAATACTCCAGAAATTGGTGTTGCCAGTCATTGCCTGTAGTCACATGAAAACTGACTTAGTTCTTTTAGCCATTAGCTGTAGTTTTAATATTTTTCTCTTACTTCTGTTAGCCATTTTTCTTTTTAATCTTTTACAGTGCTTTCTCTTGCTTCTGTCATGAATTCAGAGCCTGTGAAACTGTTATTCTTATGAATTGAATCAAAGTAGCCCATCCATTATGTTGACAAATAAATTTTGATGTTCTTATGCAGAGGAAAAGCTGATAGAGGGGTTTTTTTCACAGTGACACATTCTTCAGCATGCTGAAGGATTTCTGTACTTGATGTACCTGACATGTAATGCTTGGAGGAGTCTTGTTTTATTCTTCAAACATTGCCCCACACCAAAGCCCTTGAAAGTTAAGTACAGGGAGATTATAGCCCAAAAGCAGTTTTGCCTAGCAATGCCAATAGTGACTCTAAGCACAGACTTAGAAATGGAATTGTACTAAACTTGTTGTTGTCGTTTTTCCTAAATTGTTCTTATCTAAGGAAGACAACTTTTCTGCACAGTATATTGATCGTGGTAGACAAGCTCGTTGACATGCACTTCCTAGGATTTTTAGCCTTACAGCTAATTGGCAGTTCAGGAGGACATTGTGATTAGGAAGCCACAGGGTCTGACATGTGGGTACAGATAAAGCAAAATCTGACTTGTCATACCATTAAAAATTTTTTGGTGGAACTGCATAAAGCAGGATGAAGAAGTACTGGCAGAAATCTTCCCTTATACAGCTTAGGTGTCTGAACATTTCAGAGACTGAAGCAGCTTTCACTGTTTTGTTTTGTGTTGTTTTTTTGTTAAAGTCTATAGCAAGATCACAGGATTTTGAGACATATTTTGGGATGCTATCAGTGTTTCAAGGACTCTTCTTGATACTGTGAGCATTGGTAGGCTTTTACTTCATACTGGAGACAGAGTCCACCCATAACCTAGTTTAGTTTGTATTAGCCTTGATCAGTATGATAAAGTGATTCCATGTGACTCTTTTCTCATACACAGCTTTTGGTGAAATAAATAGCATTTTCTCTGGGCACATCAAGTTATTTGAGCAGTAGAAGTACTACTGCAAGGCGCAGCATCAGATTGCTGATGTTGAATCTAAATGTGCATGAGTTAAATCTGTTCTGTAACTTTCAGAAAGCTTTAATCTTTGCTAGTTGGGTCATTTAGTTCATAGTTGCACACAGTGAGAGGCAGAAATTTGAAGGAAGATGTAAAAGACTCGGTCTGAACAAAAATTTATACAGCCTCTTTTTCCTGACAGAGCCTTACTAGCTTAGAGATTATCTCCAGAGCAGAGCATTTTGTCCTGAAGGAAGCTGTGGAACAGAACTGTATTTAATTGGATTGTCACTCTGTAAAAGTCTATATATTTATTTTTTTTTTACAATAAATCTATGCTAATGAGTTGCATGATTTATTTAGCTACTGTTCAAAATACAGGCCTTTATATTCCTGCTTCTGGATTTTGTCTTCCAAGAATTACCACGATATGCCCACTTAGAGCATTGACTATGCTCACATGAAAGAAATCCACCACCAGAAATCATGATAGCCTGTCCAAAACTTTAGTGTTAAGAAAAGGAGCAGATTGGTAAAAGCTTACTTCTCCTGTCAAAGTCTTCCAAGACCCTGGCCAAAAAAGTGTCCAAGGAAAAATCAATATTACCACTGAAAATGAATTTATGGAAGTCAATTATCTTTTTAATGATTTAGGATTTTTCATAAACAATTGAAAAAGGAAGATGGAGTCAAGTAACTATTTTCAGTGTGTTCATAAAACAGTGTTGTGTAGCGCTTGGCTGGAACTTCATATAAGAGTATTTGCAGTGTTTATTTCCTTTATTAGAAAGTCATTGTCCTACAGTTTGTTCACAAAGGATATTTCCATCTCTTGGGTTTTTTTCTACATAACAGTGAAACTATTAATAAGGTTTGTATTTGCTTTTTTCTACAGAACCCAAATCAATTTCACAGTTGCTATTGATTTCACAGCCTCAAATGGTAAGAATAAAAATAAACATATTGTGTATGTATGTGCTTTGTTCAGATTTAAGTGTACATATGTGTGTTTGTATGTCAGTATTCAGCTGATACTACCTGGACTCAGGATTCCATTTTGCTGAGCAACAGACTAGAGGGCAATTCCTGCCTAGAAAAGCAGGGCAAACAGAACAGATAAAAGTTGGAAAAGCTACATATAAAATTGAATAAGTAGGAGCAGTTTGCAAATATTCATGTACTTTCTGATTATTATTTTTATGTTTCTTTATAACTACTGGGAGAAAACTTAGAAGACCCCATTGAGAGGGGCAAAAGAAAAGCATTTCAGGTTGAGTGAGGCTGAAGTAGGGTGAAGCAGAGGTAACTTCTGATCCTCCTCCAAAGCTGCATTCAGTGTGTCATGATGGTTTTGTAAATTTAATCTTAAAAGCATATATTGTGTTATAAATGACACAAATCTACAAGTTTCTTGCTGCCCTTTCAGTGCTGAAATACAGACACTATGGTTAAAATGCATTCAGAACTGCTAAAAAACTACTAGTATTAAAATGTATTCAGAACATTGCATTTTTATCTGAAACAAATTATCACTTTTAAGAGAGAAAATCCTGAAGTGATTTATTTTTAAAGTAAATCTGATCCTTTCTTCAACAGGTAACCCCTCACAGCCAACTTCACTGCACTACATGAATCCCTATCAGCTGAATGCTTATGGCATGGCACTGAAAGCTGTAGGTGAAATAATTCAGGACTATGACAGTGACAAAATGTTCCCGGCTCTAGGTTTTGGAGCTAGACTGCCTCCAGATGGGAGAGTATCACATGAATTTGCACTGGTAAGTAAATAAATGTTTATATGTTGTTTGAATTTCTTGACTATAACAACATTTTGGGACTTAAGGTTATAATCTTAAGAAGTTACTAAATAAGTAAAGAACATAGAATGTGCTAATTCTAAATGATTGTTTCAAAACTTTTCATCAGTGATGTTACTGAGAGAAATCCAGAGTCAAGTCCCTGTGGGCCAAAAATAATAATAAAGAAAAGTAATTATCTCTAACCTCAGCTGTGGCAAGATGAGAAACAGATGCCTGAAAGACTTCAGATTGAAGCTAATCTATTTTAAGAAGCAAATTAATCATGATCCAAGATAATATTTCATTATTATTGTTACTATTCTGTCTTATTTTCTTGGATCTCTTTCATAGACTGCTAGGTTAGAGACACAGAGATAACTAAGTGGGCTATAAACTGAGGTGACAAGAATGAATTGAGATTGGTCTGTGGATCAGTTAAATTACAAACCTAAAATCTAACAGGATTTGCTGGAAAGGTTGGTCTGGTGTAACTGATGCTTGTAATTAGTGTGGATGTTTTATCTACTTGCTTATTTTGAGGTTTATGGTCATCTCAGAGTAGGATAAAGTTGTCTGAATTACAGCAAATGTAGATATATCAGATGAGTTCTAGCTAGATAGCAGCAAAGTCGTGGCAGAAGACTGGTGGCTGTAAATGTGTGTTTCTTCTGTCAGCCTGTGCTAGAAAACAGTGCCACATGGCTTACCTCAAGGAAAGGTTTTCCACATAGATAGTAATTTAAAACAAGTGCAATTGCAGATACTCATTTAAAGACCTTCTCTGGACTTTGTGTAGCAAGTTCAAATATGTTGATACTTCTTTCAGTTTTAAGGATGTTTCTAAAATTAATTCAGATAATTTATTATAATTGTGGTGCTTTTGCAGAGAAAAAAGCACCACACATATATATAATACATTTATGTATTCATATGCAATATATATATTTATGTATTTTTTATCTATATATCCTTCCTCCATATATATACATATATAGGTGTCTCCCATGTAATGCTAAGCAGTGTTTTCAGCTATCTCTCTGAATGTTCTAGACCAATCCATGAAAAATTCCCTTTGGTTTTCTAGATTCTCAGGCAGGAATACTGTACCTCAGAATGAGATGCTGGTACACTAAGCTAATGAGGTGTTGGCACATGAAGGAGAGTACAGTGATTTGGAAGGCTTTGAAGCCTTACATAGATAATTTGTCTGGCCTGACATGGGTCATAAATCTGGAATTTAGCTTATGTGTTTGTATTGCCATCAGTAAATAGGTATCCCCATTACAGAGTCATTATGGAGATAGATAGTAAAATGCCTACTCTAAGAATTTACAGTATCAGCCATTTCAGTGGGCTCCCAAAGAGTTAATTCCTTTCTTCATCTGTTTATACCAGGTCAAAAATCATTTTTACAATGCAGAAATACTGTTCGAAACCCAAGAATTTAGACTTTACCTTACGTTCTCATAGTATATGAACATCAGGCTCTAGCTACCATTTCTTTTTTTCCAGTTTTTGAAATAAGAAATCATTGAGCCTGAACTGTGCTCCTAAACATGCTTCCAGTTTTACATCTGACCTGTAATTCATACCTTAAATTCACACAGGGAAATGCCTGTTACGGTTGTATGTAAGAAAGACTGTTAAATTACACTTATGGTGCTATTTATGTCTAGGAACCAGCCCCAGTGATTCAGACTGCATATAACATGAGGCTGTTGGAACCTCCTGCCCTAGGTGGTCGACACTCACAAGCAGAAATGGCACTTGGACATTCGTAGTAAACTCTCTGAATAGATTCTAGAATGGTTAGGTCTTTGCCTTTTAAAAATGTACACTGAGTAGTGTTCATTACCCTAAATAATTTTTGCTTCAGAATGTCTTTTAGTGACTAATCATCTCTTATTTTCATTAGAATGGAAACCCTCAAAATCCATACTGCCATGGAATTGATGGTGTAATGGAGGCATATTACAGGAGTCTAAAATCTGTACAGCTTTATGGACCAACAAACTTTGCCCCTGTAATTAATCATGTGGCCAGGTAAGCATCGCAACAAGTACTTCGCAGAAACTTCTTACTGTCTGTACAGCTATTGCATATAAAAGGCTGACAGTTGCATGATGCTAAGCACAGGAAAAAGTATTTACAGGTGTTTTGTTTTTTCAGTCTAACTTTAAGTGGGTTTGAAGACCACATGCTAGTATTATGCAGAATTTCATCCCTGATTAAAAAGAAATGCAGGTGATCAGTTGATCTACCCTGTGTTAAAATCTTAGGAAAAAACACAATGAAAGAGAAATTTTGTGAGATCATTCTGTCATGTTCCTCTTTTGCCTTTTAGAGCACAGAGTTATTCCTTCGTGGAAAATACATATAGGCATGTGTAGTTCCCCTAGTCTCAAAATGTCCAAAACATCAACAAAATCTTCCAGACCTCTCTGTGGCAACAATTCCTAGCTGGTAGCCATACTTTGAAGGCAATAATACATCAGTCACCACTGAGCAGGCATGATGCTGTGTTATGCAGCATCTCATCTAGCTTCTCAGTGTAAAACCCTTCTTGTGTATGTAGATGTTTCTTAAGAAGAACAATGTTGCCTTGTTTTCATAGACAAGATCTTGACTTATATAATAGCTCCATGAATTAATATAGGAAAGTGACATGGGTAAGATGATTTAGCTGAGCAGATTTATTTTATTTATAAACAAAGAACTAATGTTTACAAAATAAATAGGTAGGGATATGTAAATCATTATACTGTTAATGTTTTATGTATGATCTTGCAAAATAGCTCATTGTAGTAGCAAGAAATATTTATTTACTATCTGGTTTTGCTATGGTTAGTCCCACAGACCAGTGAGAAATAATTTGCAAGTTCTATGGTGCAAAGCATTTTCTGTGCACACCAGCACATGTTCTTGGAACTCTTCAGAAGCTCTTTAAGATTATAATGAGTTTACTATCCTTCCCCAAGCTAGGGAGTTATCTAAACTACACCAGATTTAACTTAGTGTCTTCTCTCATCTCCCCTCCACATGCAAGATCTTTCTTGCAGAAGACTTCAGAACATTTTAGTCTGTTGAAAATTTGAAAGAACCAAATTTCTGTTCCGTTTCTTCAATGTAGGTCTGTAGACAGTATTAAGTGCTCAGAAAGGATGATAAATTTTTATTTTACTCTCATCACCCCGTGTCACTGCAATCTTCATTTTAAAGATTGTAAGCATTAGGAAAAAATGAGATAAAAGAAGTCTCTGCATGGTAATGAAAATGCATTCCACAGTAGGTCTTGCTAATCTAGATATTTCAGTCCCTGCTGCCAGCATGCAAATAGATGATATTCAACAGGTTCACTGTCTGTATGGCTTCTCTACCCATTTGTATCTTGGGATGGGAGAGAGAGGGAGGCAGTGGCTTTCTGTGATTTGTAGCCTCCTCCAAACTCCTATCAATGTTGTGGCTACAGAATCTTATTTATCAGCAGTACTTGCAAATGCATTATGTGACATCAGAGTTAGAATTTTCTATACATGCGCAATCATCATGAGCATCATTAGAACACATTCTGTTCAGTGATCCAAGACTTTCATGTTCAGTGACCAATAAAATAGCGAGTTCCTTGACACTCATATTATGTGTTTGGGCATGTATTCAAAAAGGCAGCTAGTTCATTATTTTTTTACTGCTCTCCATACTACACATTGTTACTTTTATTACAAGGTTCTACTATTTGACTCCTTCACAGCACCAAGAGCCTTGATAAAAGTAGGAACTCTAGTGGCTGTTGTCATGTGAAGCAGCAAGTTGAGCAGTCAGCTTCACACAATAATAAGTTCTTCTTCATATAGTTACATAGGACACTTTGACCCTTGGGATCTGAAGATAAGTGAACTGAGGAATTAGTTTCTGGTATACATGCCATAGAGTTCAGTGGGGTTGCTATGGACTCTCCCTCTTTCAAGGCTTTCCAAATCTTGAAAAGCAGCTTATTTTTTATTCATTCCTTTGTATAAAGGGTTTTTTTACAATTACAATGTTGTTTTTTCTTCCCTTTAGATATGCTGCTTCAGTAAAAGATGGCTCCCAGTATTTTGTTCTTCTGATTGTTACAGATGGAGTTATTTCTGATATGGCTCAGACAAAAGAATCCATAGTGAATGTAAGTTTTGCTGAAAGTGTTGATGTTGAAAAGAATTATGTTTCTAGGAATTCCTATTTTAGGCAATAAAGTAAATCCATTACTATTTCAGGCACTAGATTTGTTCCATAAATTAACCATATTTACCGAACAGCAAAATTTATTACGTGTAAAGACGAAAAGAAAGCAGCAGTTGAACCTCAGCCTAATTAGATAGTCTACTGTGGGAAGTGATACTCTTTGACACTGTATGCTCACATGATATTCTTCATCTGCTTCTTTCCTCCTCCTTCCTCATGCACATCCCACCATGCAGTTTAGCACAGCGAAGTGTGCTTTATCTTTTGCATAATTTCTCAGCTTTGATGCCTGCAGTTTTAAAAACTGCCCCTAACTTTCTGATCCCAAATGGCAAGCACAACACTCATCTGATTTCCTTCTCAGTAGTCCCCTAGAATTTTGACAATTCTAAATTGTTTCTCAGTTTTTCTCTTCAAAACTGCCATGTGTATAAGTTTATGTATTATGAACAGGTTCCATTTTGCTTTTGCTCCTGGATAATTTCATATGAAAACACTCCTAGACATGGTTGGAAAAGATCTCTACTAATAGTTTTTAACATACCACAGTGGATTGAGTAACTAGCAAAGTGATGAGTGAGAAGCCTAGTTTAAAGTAATTAAGCATCATGTCAAAGTGAATAGTGTAGAATTACGTGGCATATTTTTGAAGACCCACTTTCAGTCCCCCCATAGAGATTCTATGCCATTCCAGTTTGTGGGGTGCACATGGAAATATTGCCAAAGTGTTCTTTCGCTGGAGAGAAATTTGCCCTCAAGTTCTAGCCAGCAGCACGTAGACAGAATCAGTAAGGACTCTGACAGTCCACCTGCTAAGTTTTTACACCCAAAGCTATAACTGTGTTTGAAGGTAACAGTTTACTCCTCTCCTCCTCCAGCTTCTAGTATTAAAGTAGGATAAAGTGACTCTCACTTTCAATGGAGATAAATAAACTTTTAGCTTGGAATTTCATTCTCTAATCTAGTTTAGAAGTTAGAAACATAGTGTCTGTCATATAAGCTTCTTGTAGGTGACAAAAATGCTCAGTGGAGAAAAAATAGCGGCTCTTGATTCTAACTCACCCCTCCATTTGAAGTCCCTAAGTAAGAGACCAGCAAGTCCAATTGGCTGATGTCTTGTAAGATTAGTTCATTTGCCACGAAGGCATACAGGAAAACCTTGCTTTGAGGAACAGTTCATTTCCAGGAATAATAGGTGTTAGTCTACAACTGTCTGGAAATGCAGCAGATGTGTTGTTAGCTTGGAAGTTTGATATTTGCTGTCTTTTCTTTTTATGAAGACGCCTTCATTTTTCTGCATACATCTTGAAGTATTAGCACAGTGTACCATGACAGAACTAATTAAATGCTATTCAATACCAGGTTTTTTTGTCTTAATAATATCCAAAATACTAAAAAGGGCAGTGGTGTTCAATGCAACTTGATATGTATAAAACTCAGAATATTTCGATTTTTAACATTAATTGTACTTTTAGGCATCTTTCCATTACAACATACGTGTCAGACACATTTTGTTTTACCAAACTGTTTAAAGGTTATGCTGTCATTCAGGAAATGCCAACACTTAGGTTTATATGCAAACGTTTAACTCTTTGTCTTTATGTTGTCATTGCCACTTAGTATTTCATATTTCATTGTATCACATAATTCTGTGTATTTGTGAGTCTCTTTAAAGGGTGTTTTCTTAACAATCAAGAAATAAGATTCTGGAAAACATCTGAAAAACAGAAGGTGATCTGTTCTAAGAGATCAGAAATCAAAGATTCTTTGGCCAGTGTATACTCCTGTTTAATGATTTAAATGACTGTAGACATTTCACAGTTCATCAGACTATCTCAGTAAGCAACAGTTGTCAACCCTGACAGTTGGTGGATGTTTCAGATTTTTAGTTCTTCATCAGAGGCACTTTCAGATTATTTCTGTAAACTAGCAGGTATCAAGGCAGGAGAGTCCAATATTTATGATACCATCTTTGCAGTTTTAAAGGTTTTACAGGGATTTTATTCAGAGAAAACCAGATACCATTTTTTACTTGTTTCATTGAAAAAGATTAAGTACCATTAAAACTCTTACCATTAGACAGTTTGATACCTTGTTTGCTTTGTGGCATGGATGACTGACTTGAATAAAATTTCATTAATGGAATAAATAGAAGATACATATTGCTCAAATATTCTTTTAAAAACTGGCATGAGATCAATGTAAAAAATAGTATCCCATAGTTCTAAGGAGCTGTGTAATATCATGAAACAGCAAAGTACAACTAAATAAATATCAAACTGTCTTTAGGTACATATTTGCAATTATGGTCAGATTATAAAACTATCATAGATAAATTTGCCATCTTAGTTACCATGTTAATATTAAATCCTAACATAGTTTATGGTGTTTAATTAGCATCCTACATGATTCAAAGACTTGGTAATGAGATAATAAAATAATCATCTGCCTTTCTGTCTTCATCCAAGATGTTTTGTATCACTTAAGCAGACAGGGTCAGACACTCAACTTTTTAGGGGGAAAAAAAGTTGTTCTTTAAAGCATAACTTCTGCATGTTCTTTATTCAGATTGTCATCAGATCTCATATTGGCAGAGGTTATGTAATACATTAAACCTCATTTACTTCTTTTTTTGAAGGCTTCAAAGCTTCCAATGTCCATAATTATAGTTGGGGTAGGACCAGCAGAGTTTGATGGTAAGTGTTGTTGTGTTTTTTCTAGATTTTTTCTATATTTGCTTACATTTTAGTAATATATGGCTTTTAAAACAAATATTGCTCTTTTAGAGCATAATATGAAACAAGCAGTAAGTGCTGTTGACATTTCCAGCTGGATTGATTGATAACTCAGTATGATTACAAGCTACCATGTAGAGCTGTGTAGCCCCTCAGGGTCTGTTCAAGTCACAGAACCATATGGGGGCTCAGCAGTTACAGAGCTCCAGAAGAGCAGTGAGGGAAAAAAAACCCAAACCCACAATAAAGTAAATATAGCCAAGTAATGTTGAATTTCTTCAACACAGATCTTTAGATGCCTTGTAAGCTGTTAGTTGACCTGAAATACTAGTCTTACTGCAGTAATAAAATTTTGAGAAAAATAAATGCATTTGAGGTGATCTGGTTTAAACAGGATTTCACTCTATAACAGAAGAGAGTCTTACTGTGTAGCAGCATTGAGAGAATATTACAGCGGGAGAGAAATTACCAGGTTATTTTCATATTCTTTCATATGATATTCTGAGATCCCAAATCCATCCATTTCAACACTGACCAGAGAGCAGGTATGCCTTCCATCTAGAATAGCTTCCAGGTACCCAGACAATTTTAGAGCTTTCCTGGACCCTTCTCAGAAGATACAAGAAGAGCTACCCAATAAATTTAATAAGATTTTTCAGCACTCCTCATTCCTATGCATTAGCAGATACTGCTTTTCCAGCATGAATGTGAGTTATTACCTCTGTGTGCTGAACCCTATGATATCTCCTGTAACAATTGCTGCTGAAGATGAATTCTTCTCCACTATGGAAGTTTAAATATAGCCTTACAAAAACAGATATACTTGCTGGTTTGAGATTTGGAAGGATAAGGACTTTAGCATGGTCTGTTTTGTTCTGAAGATGACAATAAAGAAAAAATTCTGTATTGTCACCATGAAAAAGTGCAAAATAGCTACAAAACATGATGGTTTTTATGGTGCAAATGTTCTTAAAGAGCTACCTAAATAACAGTTGTTGGTTTTGTTGCCCTAAAGTGTAATTGTCTGAACTTTTTCTCAGTAAGGTTATTTTGTTATGTATTTGAACTCATAGATTGATCCTTATTTTCTTTAAAGCTATGGAAGAACTGGATGGGGATGTAGTGAGGATTTCTTCAAGAGGAAGGTTTGCAGAGAGAGACATCGTGCAGGTGGGAGAGAAAATATGCTCTAATGGATAGATTTTACTCCTCCTATTTGCTTTGAATTCTTATTTCTATCTATTTTCCTGCCTTTCATGTATGTTAGCACTGACATACTTTATCTCAAGGTGTTAGTAACAAGCTCAGAAATTCTGTGCTACCTCTAAGCCTTTGTATAGCACACAGTAGTGGATCTGCTTTCATTAGGAAATGACCCCTATAACTAGCAGGACACTGTTATGAAGTATTAGTGTTATACAGCTGTGGGAGAAGAGTTGGTTACCAAAAATTTGGAGAAACATGATGTCTGTAGAAAGAATGGTATCTGTCTAAACTGAAATCTTTCGTGGAAGGCATATATTCTTGGAAGTGGCTGAATACATTAATAAAATAAAGTATTTCAGTTGGAAGGGACCTACAACAGACATCTAGGGCAACTGCCTGACCACCACAGGCCTGACCAAAGTTAAAGCATATTGTTAAGGGGGTTGTCAAAATGCCCCGAAACACTGACAGGCATCCTTAGATTCAAACTTCACCTTAGATCTGCTGTTTCTTCTTCTGCCTTTATGCCTTCTATTTGTCACACTTCATATCGTTCAGTTGTTTTTCCTCTTACTTGTTTTCACTTACTTCAAGACAGGTTGGATTTTTATATCGTTGGTTAGTAGAATATGTATAGGGAGAGAATCACTGAGCTATATGAATAGCCCATATTGCATTATAGTTAAGGTCAGATGGCAGCTGATGTTCTTTGGAATGTGTTTATTTGTTTCTATCTGCAGGAACTGAAACTTTTCAAAATGCTTAATGTTGCAAATACTAATGTATGAATGTTAAAGAATCGATTGATAACTGCTGGTGGATATCATATTTCAATCCAAGGAAGTGTTCAAAACATGTATATGACACCTGATTTTATAGTTTTGTTAAGAATGCAAAATAAACAAATCTAGACAAATGTGGAAATTAAAATTATTAGATGTTTGTTTTGGTCAAAGATTCTCAGTGCAAAAAATACTTCATTAAAATTCCCTATTTTATTCATAAAAGTGGATCAGAAATGAGAGTTGGATGACAGCAGTTCATTTACCCTCATAAGCTTTATGGATATATATTTAAGAAAATAATGAATTCAGTTCTAATAGTTGAAAAGGAGTCTATTTTTTGTTTCTGCAATATACAGAGATATAACAACTGATGAGAACGCAACACATCAAAACTCTTAGAAGAGTGAAATGTGCTGGTTTCTTTAGTCAGTGTTCTCAAAAGGTAATTATAAAAGTAGTGACGATGAGAAGCTGGACAGGCAGAGGAGACAAGAAATAATATGTCTCTTTTTGTCAAAGCCTTTATAATGTTCCTTGGTAGTCCTTACTGGGTTAAAGAGGAGCTGTCTGTAATGTGTAATGCTATATTCATTAGTGCTTTCAACAGAGCAGTATGTGGAGATCTGCCTTCAGAGCTGGGAGCCTTTCTGGACCTCAAACTAGTATTTCTGCAAAACCCTGTGCCATGACAGGTTTTTAAAGCTAATTCAGATATCTCTGGCATGCTCTGCACTTAGGTTTAAATGCATTTAAATATAATCAACAATATTATACAGAGTTTCTCCAAACAGCCCCAAAAGCTGTTGAGTTTACATTCAAAGAGCATAAACGGATAGAATTCTTCAAGTGTTGGAAGCCAGATTTGTGAAAATGCTTTGCATCAGAGATATAGTAATTTCTGCTAAAAAATAAAAAGTGATATGCAGTGAATACCCTTTTGTATTTCTTTAGGATTCATTGCATATCAGAAATGTAATAAAACATCTATATACTATTAGCATGTTGCCATCAGAATGTTGCCCCAAGTCATATTGAATAACCTGAAGGCAATAGGATTTTTTGCTCTCTTTCTGTCTAAACACTAACAAATGATGACACCAACTTGAGTGGGAATGTTGATCTGCTGGAGGGTAGGAAGGCTCTGCAGAGTGATCTGGACAGGCTAGATAGATGGGCTGAGACTAACAGCATGAGATTCAACAAAGCCAAGTGCTGGGTCCTACACTTTGGCCACAACAACCCCATGCAGCACTACAGACTGGGGGAAGAGTGACTGGAAAGATGCCCAGTGGAAAAGGACTTGGAGGTGCTGGTTGACAGCAGCTGAGCATGAGCCAGCACTGTGCCCAGAGGGCCAAGAAGGCCAATGGCATTCTAGCCTGTATAAGAAATAGTATGGCCAGGAGGATCAGAAGTGATCCTCCCCCTGTACTCTGCACTGATTTGGCCACACTTTGAGTACTGTGTCCAGTTCTGGACCCCTCAATCCAGGAAGGACTGGTGCAGTTTAAGACTATGTCCTTTTGTCCTGTCACTAGTTGCCTGGGAGAAGACACTGATCCCAACCTAGCTACCACCTCCTTTCAGGTAGTTGCAGAGAGTGATAAGGTCACCCTTGAGCCTCCTCTTCTCCAGACTACCCTCAGCTCCCTCAGCCAAGGAAAGACTTTGAGGTGCTGAAGCAAGTCCAGAGAAGGGCAAAGAAGCTGGTGAAGGATCTGGTGCATAAGTCCTATGAGGAGTGGCTGAGGGAGCTGAGTTTATTTCATTTCTGATCCTTTCTTATCCTTTTGCTGTTTAAGAGGAGAATACTTACTCATTACTATGAGTAACTTGCTTATTACTCTTGTTTCTCTGGAAAATTTTGCAATTAGCCTTTTTAATTAAACTCTCAAACTATAGAAAAAGCACTTGACATTCCATCAGTTTCCCTTTGGGTTTTTTACATCTTTCATTATATTCCTCTGCCATTTCTCCTTCTTCTACATGTTAGCTGTCTTTGTACATCTCTGCATATCTGTCCATAGCTCCTCCATCTATATACCATAAGGAAAAGGGAGGGAGAACCAATCAGGCCATTTTTATTGTATAATTGCATTTCAACAATTACACTGTTGAAATAGCCTCACTTTGCTACAGAACAGTGGTTTGAGATTCCATATCTGCAAACTAGTGGGTAAGGTGATCTCTTGGGATGGGACACATTTTGTTCTTTAGCTCAGACTGCAGGTGCTTTTTACATAAGATGCATTAGAAAATTAATAACACAAGGGGGAAATGATCACGAAGCTTATTCCTTCCCAGCTGAATATGTAAACCAGCAGGCTACAGAGGTGCTTGTTTTGTTTCATTATTCTAACTGCATGATTCCAGGGACAGATGTATCCTTACATAAAATTTGGTGGAGTTTAAAAAGGAAGAACCAGTTGAAACAGTTTTTGAAAACTGGTAGAGGTTTTCTATGAAATGGAGGAATCAGTGCTAGGAAATATCACAGTATTGAACATTGTCTCTTGTATTAAAGAATTACTGAGTAAACACAGAAATAGTCAAGACAGCTAATTGTGGAACTGCAGATATCTTGTTTCCTGGCTTAATACTCTAAAATTGGGTTCATTTTTGCTTGTTCTCCTGCCCTTATACCTGGTATGCTCTTGGACACAACCCATTGAAGAGGTAAAGTATGCTACTTTCTGGAATATTACTCTTATAGTGTTGTTGACAGTGGCAGCCTGTGCTTGCTGGCTCTGCTTGAGCAGCAAGGTTGGACTAAAGGATCGAGGACACTTCAACAATTTTTCAACAAAAAAGTTTTTTATTGCTGAAATGTCATCTTTCGTTTTGGTTGGGTTTTGGGCTGGGCTTTTTTCTTCCCTGGGAGGTGGTTGGGGTTTTTCCTTTGTTTAATATATTTAGTAGATTTCTTTATATGTTTGTCTTTTCTGGAAAACTCTCAGGATCTCAGAAATAAAGTGCATATTAAACTCTCTTTAGCTCAGTGTTCCCCTAAATCTTGGAAACTTCAATGCTTTCTAGAAAAATGGAACTTAATCTGTAGTTGTGCTTGCTGTGCATCCATTAAAGCAAAATCTGTCTATTTGGTATAATGGGAAAAAGGTTTCAGAGTTCAGCCAGGAGATGAGATATTTGTGGGTCTAGCTTAGCAATCAGTTCTAGTTTTATCCTGGAGTACAATAGTTAACAAGTAAATTTTCCCTGTTGATTTGTTGGAGGGGGGGTTGGAGGGAGTGGAGGAGCAGAAAGGCACCATTAGGCTTTGAATTCCAGCAGAGCATAGCCTGGCATATCAATATCAGAAGTGGTTTGGACATTGAATCCCAATGTTGTCACCTAGCTGTTGCCCTGAGATAGGCTCCAAAATCTGAGCAAGAAGCAGAATTTCAAATCAGCCTTCCCTTTGGCACAACCTATTAGCTAGCTTAACCTACTGCTTCACTGTGTGCTGTCTGTTCTGAATAAAAATCAGGGAGCCTAGGTTGTTTCTTTTTTCTATGCCAGTAGCACAAGTATCTCATGAAGTATTATGAAACCCAAGCCAGAGGCAGGTAGATGTTTAGGTGTTGCAGATCTGGGAATCACTAACACCTTCTTGTTTGAATCCAATCCTTTTTGCTTAAATTCTTATTGCATTTGTTAGTATCATATCCAAAGTGTTCAGGTGGTTCATAGTTCTACTAGGTATGATACGAAATGCTCAAAAATAGAAAGCCATCCTTTCTGTTTTGTTCACTTCAGAGGGCAAAAAATCTACTGACAAAGTGCCAGAGCAGAGGCAGTCTGGTAGGAGAGCCCCAGGAGCAGGGAATGTAAGCTTAGAATAGCTTTCTGAGACAAGATTGCCTTCCTGTATGAAAAGGGTTGAGAGACAAACAAAATATATCAATGACACATGTAATTGGCAATCCGAGCTTATGTGAAGAGGTTCACCCAAGTGAAAGGATGACACTGTTTCTATTAGAAGACAGATTTTTAAAGATTGAGATACAATGCGTATATATAAAATATATAATATAAACCACAACATATGTTTACGTCATATAAAATGTGTAAGGTAAGATATTCATGTACTCTAACTCCCTAGATAAAACTTTCTTACTTTAACATTCTAAGATGTATTCTGTGTCTTCATAACAACCTGAGTGAACATCTCTCTTGTTTTGTAGTTTGTGCCGTTCCGAGATTACATTGACAGAAGTGGAAACCACGTGCTAAGCATGGCAAGACTTGCTAAAGATGTTTTAGCTGAAATCCCAGAGCAGTTTCTGTCCTACATGAGGGTCAGAGGAATAAAGCCATCCCCTGCACCACCACCCTATACACCCCCAATTCACGTGTTGCAGACACAGATATGACTGCTCTGAAGTGCTTAGCGTTTATCACAAGTCTCTGGATGCAGCAGTAGCTTCTGATGACTTTTTGGAGCTAGAAAAATTTTCTTCACATACCAAAATTCTCCTATGGTTGCATAAGCAACTGGAAAGCTTTTAATGCTAGGAGCAAAATGTTGATGTTCTGAGTCCTTTGTATTTATTTTACAGGACACCCTACATTTTTGATGTATTTATTGGAGGGGGAAAGCACAAGTCAGGTTTTCAACTCAGAAGATAGTATCCTCTCTGAATACTGTGTGTATATAAGTGTATAGGAATGCTATTACTCTGTATCAATGTTTACATGTTACTATTTTTAAATTTCAGTACTTTTATAACTATTCTTAAGAAAAACAGTTTGGAATATTGACTCACACGTCTTCTAGCTTGCAATAGTTTGTCACAAGATAACAAGAGAAAGCAATATCTCTTTGAATGTTTGCCCAGACAAACACAAATGAAAGCTAAGAGAAGGACAAATATATCTCTGTTTTCAAACCACTGAAGTGCTTCAGTCAGTGCTCAGTAATCCATTCTTATCACGGTTTGAGAACAAACTCCTAAAATGTGAATAACAGAATTGCATATGACTTATAACTAATTCCAAATTTTGAGGGGGAGGTATGTGTATTTTTTCAGAGGTTCTCCAATTTCTAAGTTTATCTCAGTTTACAGTTTTTTAAACTAGCTACTGAAGCAAATTAGAATAGTTACTTGCTATAATAAAGTAAAGAAAATTACCTCAGAACTAGCAGAGTACTATAGTTGACTCACTGAGCTCCTTAAATCATATCATGCCTCCCTTAAGCATGGAACTTTTGCATCAGATGTGTCTTTTGGAGTGATTACAGCAGATGTTTTATAATGGCCCATTTCAAACTTAATTTAAATCTTTACCTCTTTTTGTCTCAATTGCCCATTCAGAGGGATGCTGACTCTTAATATTTGGGTTTGATATTGTCATTGAATCACATGTCCATTCAGGGTGCATGAATGATAATGTTAACTAACTGGTTGAAAACTTGCACAACCATGTTGCTTTGTGCACAATTTTGTGTACGGAACTACCCAAAAATTTTATGATATGCCTGTTCGTATATGATTATAAAACGGTTTTGCATGTATATTTTGTACAAAATACACAGTTTTGTGAGTTTGTGTCAGATATATTTAATTTAGAACTAATGGCCTTAAATTTCACAAAACTCCTGAAATGATTGTGAATTGCCTTCAAATACTGTTAAAACTGGACATTTTGATTTTTCTGTGTCACAGTTGTAACTGTCTTGTATACGTAATATTTTTCTTTGCATATAACCTGTTTACTACTTCTGTTTCTTACTACTGTATGTTGTAATGTACAGTATAAAACTAAGGTGCATTTTTTAAGCATGAGCAGTTTTTGCCAGAAAGCATATCTTCAATATTAATGGCATATAACTATATAAATGCAAAATCTTCCATTTTTAGATATATTTAACTTCCTTGAACTGTTTCATGTGGGAAATCGCTTTTTCCAAATAATTATTCTGTTGGTAAAAAAAAAAGGAAAATAATTTTTTTGGTAAAAATAAATCTTGTTTTATTTTTATTTCCAAACAGTTTTTACATAAATATGGACTTTAATTTTCTCACCAAAATATGTATTTCTTAGTGGATTGATGTTGCATGAATGACATTTGATACTTGACAACTAGAGATTTTGATGAAAGTGCATCATAAAGAGTAAGTTCAAATCTGCTGAATGGTGGTGGTGTTCTCCTTCCATCTTCTGCATTTATGTTTCACACTTAGAGTTTAGGCACTTTAGAAATAGCTGAAGTAATATTAAATTTCTGTTGTTTCATTTGATTAGACAAATCTTTATGCTGACGTTTGTATTAGCTCCTGGTGGCACATGCAGTTGAGAGGTTTTCACTCAAAGGCCAAAATACAACCTTCTTTTATTCATTTGAGTAATTTATTAGCTCCCATTTAGCCAGCACCTTTTATTAGCCCAAAGTTTAGCCTCAGAACTAATTTAACAACTCATTTAAGAAGTGAAAGAACTTTTAAAGCTAGGCATTACTTAATCAAAGTTCTCTTTGCTATCTGGCGTAAGTACCAGCATCATCTATTTGGCACGGTTGGGTTTATTCCTTCAGTTTGGTATTGGATTCTAAATAAAACATATTTAATGGAAAGGAATAGATGTGACCAGTGGGGTAAGTGTTCTAGTGGGAAAAGGAGTCTTTTTCCAGACCTGTTACATTCTCTATATGCTTGAAATCTCGATTCTGTAATGTGTATGAGAATCACTATGGAGACTCACATAGTAGCTTTCATTCCAGTATTAGAGAAGAGAGGTAATGGTTAGAGCTTGAATTTCTCCAAAATATCATTTTTACTTCTGGCTTTATTCTGGTATTCCTTCCCAAGAAATGCTAGCTGCTACCAAAACTTGATAATTTTTTATGCCCGAAGAGTAGCAGAGAGTATTTATGTTTACCAAAGGTAAAATATGACATGTTAACTGACAGATGAGTTGTACTGAGAGGGAAAATATTGTTGGTGGTGAAAACTCTCTTTCTTTGGTATCCATGTTGGAACAGATGTTTTCTTTGTAATATATGCAGAAAATTCTATAGCAGGAGCAAACTGTACAAATGAGGAAGGACACAGGCTCATGGAGGGTATAATTCAAGAGTGACTATTTTAGGTTTTATTCAGACTATTGAAGAACTGTTTGCTCATCTGGAAGAAGAAACTGGTTTGATCATGGTTACAAAATAGAATTTTTTAAGTTTAGGCAAAGATGGAAATCTATACAATTGAATTTACATGTACTTCAAATCAGCTCCCTTCTCTACATGACAAGATTTGTTGTGTGGTCCCCCAGAGAGATGTCTGAAGGAGAGGAATAGGAGGTTGGTATTTTCTCAAAAGTCCCATTTTGAAAAGCTGGGAATTCTCACCCAAGTAGGGACAGATGAAATTCACCCTAGAATACTTTATAAAATGGCTGAAACAAACAGAATGGTAAATTATTATCTTTGAGAACTAAGAAAAGGACACATAATGACAAATTATGCCAATGCAATGGGAAAACAGGGAGCATAGTAAGAGGCTATTATAACTGTTTCAGAAGTGCTTTAAACAGAAATATCAACAAGAATAAGGGGAGAACATGTAGCTATGCATAAATGCAAAAGCACAGAGATGTGTGAAAAAGGACAGAGCACCACAAAAACAAGTTTATGGCTGCTAAAGCCTAGTAAAACCTCTACTAGAAAAGGAAAGGCAAATCAATTATTTAACAAAAGGATGAGCATTTAGTAAATTAGGGAGAGCTGAATTACTCAATGTCTTTTTCCTTCAAGCTTCACTGAAGAGGGATAATCACTGAATTAAATAGTCAATTAAAAATAAATAAATCTAGACTTAGGTTTAAATCCACCAATAAAGTTTCGGTACTAATGCACAGTTTTGAATCAATTTTCTCAAAAAGCAATATAATGAGCTTCAGGATAAAAGAAAAGAAACAGCTGCTTTTACACAACATTTTAAAAGCAAAGCAGAAGATAACAGCCTCGTTTGAAGTGTTATGAAATACTATAAAGTTGTTTAGACTGTTCAGAAAATGTGTTTCATCATCAAACTTGAAAAATGCAACAATTGATGTTCCATAGGGACCTGTCTTGCTTTTGGTATTATTCAGTCATTTCCTTTGCTGAAGCAATATATAAAATATGGTTATTAAATTAGTGGATTCTATCAGTTGGAGATAGTTTAATCACTTCCAAAGATGGGTTTAAAACTTGAAATTATTTCTATGAATTAGAAAAAATACCTGAAAGAGGAGCAAATTTCATCAGGGTAAGTAGCTAAGAGTACTGAAGTAAGAAAATCCTAGCACACCATTGCAGCACTTTGTCTGTGCAGCAATTCTGCAAAACAATCTCTGAGGTTATTGTGGATCACAAAAGATACTGAGTGGAAGGTGTCAGGTAGAAGTTTTGAATATAGGCCGCCTGAGATAATCCGCTCATTGTTCTCAAAAGAATCAGACCTCTGCTAGTGTACCAGGTCCAATTTTGGGACTTCAAATAACATGTGGGTCAACTGGAAAAGCTCACAGAGGGCACTGAGGATGGTTGAAACAATCTGGGGAAATGATCAGGCAAAGTTTCTGTGGGGTTGGCCTCTCTGCCAGAGCTATCTCTAACTCTCTTGATGACCACAGTGAACTACCAGAGCAAGGGCCACTGCCTGGGAGCAGGACAAGCCCTCCCGAACGAATGTGTGTATGGAAGCAGGTTGGTGTCATCACAACAGAAATATTTTCAGGAAGGACAGACCATGTCCGTTCCCGTTGTTAGGTTGCTGAGTCATACTGCTTGCATTTTTCATATGAAATGCACTTTCTTTCAAACTGGCTTATGGCAATAGTGCATATTTTATTCAGCACTCCACAGTGGATTATTGCTTCTTTGCCACTGAATTGGTAGGGTGTGATTTCAGGTTTTATTTCCAGCCAGCATTGTGCATTGCCATGAGGGTGCCAGTGATTGTAGATGACTGGTATTTTCAAGTTGCCCATCTAAACAAAGGTTACAGATTGGAGCATGTGCTCTAACAGCCAAACATTGGATGATAATAAATTTGATGATTGGAATTTTTATTTGGTGGTTTTATTTTGCAAACCATCAAAGGCATTGAAGTGACTGAGGGTTCTTGGAGATATCTCATCCTGTAGAAGGTATACAACTGCTGTGAGACACCTGCCCTGCAATCACAGCATGATTCCTAGTGCAGTGTGTGCCACGGGTGGTGGGACAGCCACTGCAGGCTGTGGTTGTGCCCTGAGTAATTCCATCACTTCTGCATTGCTCAGTTCCCCAGGAAGCGAAAATTCTGCCTGGCCTCTAGAGGATCGTGTTTGTCACAACAACTGGGTGGCCTGTGTGTCCCTGTGCCACAGACTGCTCTGTAGTTTGCTTTGCTTCTGGCTGATCATGAAATCAAAGCAAATGACTGGATGTGCAAAGTGATTAGCGCTGAACTCTGTGAACTGAGTGAGCCATCAGGAGGCAATCACCAGCCTGAGGGAATTCAGGGGGAAGCGATTTGGCTAGTGTCCATGAGCACAGGACTACTGCAAACTGAGGAACTTCTCTGTGGAGAAGACTGAATACCTACACTGGCAGAGAGCC